TCTACATAGTGAGTTCCAGGACAGCTGGGGTTACAGGGAGACCCTGTCTCAAAAAGACCAAAAAAAAAAACCCACTGTTCGTTTAACCCTGGTGTTCGTGACAGTAACTTTAGTCCTGGTCCAGGGAGTAGAAAGTAGGAAAAAAGCTACCTTTTTATATATGTTGAGAGTGTTGGAGTTTTGAAGTGAATGAGGTGTATCTTAATCTAGACTGATACTTTTTTACTATAGCACCCCTGTGTTCAGCCCTGCAGTTTCTGAGGCACTTACTGCATCCATCCTTTCCAAGCCTGTCTTACCCCAAGTATAAAATGTCCTCACAACTCCCAATTTAGAGGACTTTGTCCTCCACTTCCAATTCAGCACAAATGCCCATTCTCAAAGAGGCTAGAAGAGTTGGTAATTAATGTGCAATTAATCTTACCCTAGATGGCATTTCTGTTTGAACTAATAAACATCTAGAGATGTTAAATGTTGTTCTGTTTTTGAGGCAGGGTTTCCCTGCAGCCCCAGCTGACCTGGAACTACTGTGTAGATCAGATTAGCCTCAATCTCACAGAGATCTGCCTGCCTCTGCCTCCTGAGTGCTGTGATTTTTGGTGAAGTTTTGCTGATCCATGTCCTGGTTGCAGATGCTCTCGCACACCTTCCTCATGTTCTCCAGCTCCTAACCCACCCCTGCTTTCCTTCCTCCACCCTTACCTTCCAGGAGAACTCCAAGGATTATCAGATTTTGACAAGCTAGCTCTTCCAATGCTAAGGGTCTGGTGCTTCGAGCTTCCTCAAGCACTTTCTGTCTTCCTGGATCTTTAACCCATCCGCCTTTCTTAGTGCATTTCACACTTGGGGTGTGTTCATGTCCATCTCATGCTTTAATTTAAGAAAACAACGCTAGTCTTGGACTGCCTGTCTCTTGACTGTCATATTTTTAGGAAATTCTCTACCCCATTGTCTCAGTCAGGTCTCTTCCCCCTGTGTACGACAGATCCAGTGCAAGGTAGCTTCTCCCTCCACCACTGGAATGTGGTAGACTTGCCAGGTTGTCAGGTTTCAAAGTGCCAAAGACACTGAGCGTTTTGAATTGCCTTTTTTTTCAGAACCTAGAAAAAAAAAGACGGGGCAGCTCACGTGGACCAGGCTGCCCCAAGGCTTCAAAAACTCCCCCACCCTGTTTAATAAGGCCCTAAGTCAAGATCTAGAGCCTTATCACAAGAGGCACCCACATGTGACCCTGCTGCAATATGTGGATGATTTGCTGCTGGCCACAGCTACTCTTGGAGAGTGCATGGAGGCAACGAAGAATCTGCTGACTGAATTAGGCAGCCTGGGATACCGAGCCAGCGCCAAGAAGGCGCACATCTGAAAGAGTGCCTGGAGACAACAAAAAATCTGATGACTGAATTAGGCAGCCTGGGATACCGAGCCAGCGCCAAGAAGGTGCACATCTGCCAGAGACTCTAGATTCCTGGGTATGCAGAGATAGCCCGTCCACTGTATGAAGCCACCAAAGACGGGCCCGACTAAAAATGGAGCCAAGAGCTAAAAAACTTACAAAAAGTCCAGAGACTATTAAGAGCTATAGATAAACCCAGGACAGTGACAGTCATACACGTGCCTAGACACCAAGTCAAGAAAACTCCCGAGGCCATTGGTAACAACCTTACAGACACAGAAGCCAAAAGAGTGGCCCTCTCCAGTCCTGGAGATCCAGTTGTACTAGCCGCCCTAGAGGTACCGATACCAGAACTGCCTACTCTGCCCCCCAAACCTGATTATTCTCCACAGGATCTAGAGTAGATAAAGAAGCGAACACCAGAGGGGAGGACTGGGGAAAGAGGTTAGAGCCGGGACCAAGAAGGCAGATTGATTCTACCAGAAATATTAGAGAAATACATGTTAACTAAATTACACAGATCTACCCACTTAGGTTAGAAGAAGTTGCTTACTCTTTCCCAAAATGCACAGCTGGTTTTCCCACATCAGACTAAAACAACAAGACTGATCACAAAAAGTTACAACAGCTGTACAAAACTTAGACCAGCCCCGAAAGAGCTCCACCCAACTGGTAGCCGGGAGAGGGGGAAGGCACCGGGAAGGTATTGGGAGATAGACTTCACTGAGGTAAAGCCAGGTAAATTTGGTTATAAGTACTTGTTAGTAATGGTGGATACCTTCTCGGGATGGGTAGAGGGCTTTCCCACTAAAAATGAAACTAGCCAGGTAGTAGCAAAAAAGCTAATTGAGGAAATAATTCCCAGGTATGGAGTCCCTGAAGTCATAGGTTCTGATAACGGCCCAGCTTTCGTTAGCAAAGTCCTGCAAGGACTAGCCCAGACTCTGGGAACAGATTGGAAACTACATTGTGCTTATAATCCACAGAGTTCTGGGCAGGTAGAGAGGATGAATCGGACTTTGAAGGAGACCCTTTCTAAATTGGTCGCTGAGACTGGCGGTGACTGGGTGACTCTCCTTCCCTTAGCCATTTTCCGTGTCAGGAATTCCCCCTATGTGCATGGACTGACTCCCTTCG